TTCTTCATTAAAACAAAGTCTGATGTAGTACATTGCCTTCGAACTTTTTTAAAAGAAGCCGAGAAGCAAATAAAAAAATTAAACAGTTCCTGAGTGATGGAGGAAAAGAATTTGATAACACAGAGGTAAAAGCAGTTCTTCAATCTTATGGAATAGATTTTAGAGTCGCTATGCCATATTCGCCCCAACAAAACGGCGCAGCAGAACGCGAAAATAGGACTCTTGTAGAATGCGTAAGAACCATGATACATACTAAGAAGTTGCCTATCAAACTCTGGGCGAGGGTATAAATACGGCTGCATATGTTCTTAACAGAACAGGACCAACACCAGTAACGAACAAATCCCCAATTGAGCTGTGGCAAGGTAAAAATGTTAAAATTGATTACTTCCGAATATTTGGAACAAGATGTTTTGTACATATACCTAAACAGTGTCGAAGAAAGCTCGACAAGAAAAGTGTAGGAGGTTTTCTTGTTGGGTACTGTGGTGACAAAGACGGTTACAGAGTTTGGTTGCCTGACGAAAATAAGGCAATTACGAGTAGAGATGTAATGTTTACACAAGAAAGTATTGTAGAGCATAGAGTAATGGAGAACATTTTGCAAGAAAATACTAATGAAAAAGTTGAACTAGACAAAGAGAACGAAAGTGATATAGTAACAATACAATATGAGTCTGACGAGTTTGAGTCCAAGAATCATGATTTGGACAATATTGAATACCACCATTACAACCTTCGTAGTAAGAATCAACTTTTAACTTGTATTGATGACTATTTACTCTTAGCCGAGTGTGAAGTCCAAACTCTTATACTGCAGCAGTTCAGTCTAGTGAAGAAGAACAGTGGAGAACAGCCATGAAAGAAGAAATGGATTGTTTGGCTTAAATGATACCTGGGACCTAGTAACTTTGCCAGAAAATAAAAGGTTGATTCAAAGTGAGTATTTAAAATAAAGCAAAATGCAGATGGAAGTATTAGCCGCTACAAAGCTAGATTGGTAGCAAAAGGTTATAGCCAAAAATTTGGAATAGATCATGATGAAACTTTTAGTCCTGTGGCAGTCAGAACAGTCCTTAGTGTAGCTGCATCTGAACGTCTAAAACTGTTACAATTTGACGTGAAGACAGCGTTTTTGTATGGTCAACTGCTGGAGGAAATTTATATGAAGCAGCCAGAGGTATTTGATGATCATAGAGGAAGAATGTGTAAACTAAAACGTAGCTTGTATGACTTAAAACAGTTTCCATGATGTTGGAACAAGCGGTTTGTAGATTTCATCAGAAATGATAAATAGTTCAGCTGACCCATGTTTGTTTCTACGTATAAAGAATAACCAGATATTAATTGTAGTAATTTACGTGGATGATGGACTCGTGGCTTGCAGTAACGAGTGTGAGATGATGAAATTTATCAACGACCTAAAGGAAAATTTTAAAATTACTATTGGTTCATTGGATAGTTTTCTCAGTTTACAAATAAAACAGATGGCTGAAGGTATTTTTGTAAATAAAAGTGCATATATAGCAAACATTTTAACTCGCTTTAATATGCAGGATTCAAATTCTGTGAAAACTCCTTGTGAGATTAAAAATATATCTATTGCTGATGAAAATGTGAATGAAAATATATCTTACCGTGAGGGCATTGGAAGACTGATGTTTTTAATGGTTGCTTCACGTCCAGATATAGCATATGGCGTAAGTGTTTTATCCGAGAGACTTAATTGGCCAAAAATATCGGATTGGCGTGCAGTTACAACGTTTATTTCGGTATTTACGTGGCACTATTGACTTAGGATTGTTTAATAAAGCAAATTCATCAGAACCGAATGTTTTAAATATCTTTAGTGATGCAAATTACGGAGGTGATCCGGAAACTAGACGTTCACGAACTGGCGTGGTTGCAAAGTTTTCGGACTGTGCTATAACGTGGTTTACTCAGAAGCAGAAAAGTACCTCTCTTTCGACCACAGAAGCAGAGTAAATAGCCGCTAGTGAAGCTACAAAAGAATTAATATGGCTTCACAGATTGTTTGTGTAGATTAACGTTTTCAATAAATATTTGTTTGTCCGAACATTTAGTTGTCAGGGCTCGTACATTTTATTTTTAATTGAGAGCAAAACCGAATAAACCCACTATAAACGATTTTTGGGCAAACACGACTTTTCAATTGCACAAAACGTACTTTCGTTTGTTTTGTTAAAACAATACTACTATTGGAGACGTCATTAATAATACATCCTTTGCCAGTATAATTTTGAAAAATGGTTTTTGTTAAAAATATGACAAAAAAAAAGATTTTTAATCAGTTTTACCAAAGTCAAAATTCAAAACTAGGCGCACTAATATAAGAGAAAACAAACTGCTCTTAAACTACAGTGGATTTATTCGGTTTTGCCCAAAAACATCAATTTTGACCTTGAATTTTACAAAGATTTATTCGGTTTTGTTCGGACAGGTAGTCTATAAAGATGTAATTTAACAAAGTTTTGAATTCTAATATGATTTTTAAGCTAATACAGGGCATTCCAAAGAACATTTACCCATTTTTACACACAATTTTATCGATTTTAATCATACAAAATTATTATTCTAGCTTGGTACATTTTTCCCATTGGTGTCAAATGTTCAGTTAACAGTTAAATTTGATTCGAGCTTGATTTTTAAACATCCTGTATCATAACGAAGTTACTAATTTTTTGATTACATATACATAAATATTTCTGTTATATATTTTAATCGTTAATAGGTTATTCCACTTATTTTTTGAAAACGATTTTTGCTTTTTTTTAATGTTCTTCAGACTTCATAAAATACTTCAGAATAGTATATTATTTATATTCTAGTACAGGTTCAAAATAAACTAACAATAGATATAATAAATATTTTTTTTGTCATATTCTTATGTTAAACTTACCTGAATTAACCGTTCAAAAGTTTGTCGACAGTCAATAAATAAGCGTTTTAGTTACAAATTACATACATAACCGAAAAAAAGAAAAGTAAAAATTCAATTCAAACAACGATTTTATAACTTACAAACTTATCGTTATGGAACTTTGACCCCTACTGATATGCAGGAAACCTTTTTTAAAATATGTTTGACATAAAAGGCAACAGTCATATTCGGTTGAATAACAAAAACGACGTGGGGATAATGAAAACAAAAATAACATTATTGGTAAATAACCGGATATTGACAGTTCATTCTTTTCTTTAATATTTACACATGGTGGACGTAGAGTACCACAGATTATTTGGAAAAAAGCTATAAGGTTTTGACCAAAGTTGTTGCCAAATTTGGAAAAGAGATATTATTTTAGGTAAGGATTATTATTTTATTTATTATTTAACATTTCGTTACAGGAGCTATTCAGAAATTAGATCAAAATTAAATAATAACCTTTTTCACGTTTACCAGAAAACCTTTTACACAATTCTCATATTTTGATTCAAATAATCTGTGGTTACTCTGTGTCTTATTAGTTATGGTGCACTCTATATAGTGCAACTTTTATACTGTTTGACCCTTAGTTGGTTTGTGACCGTCTTTCCATTTGTTTTTATAATGGAAAACCAAGATTAACAAATTTTAAAAACATGATAGGAAATATAAAACATAAGTATAATAAATTTGGCTTACTAATAAATGGCGTGACTATGACATAATCCCAATACCAGACATTCAAGTAAAAATGAAATAATTTATATTAAATGGATAGAAGAGATACATTAGCTGGGAATGCAAATAAACAAGCAAGCGCAATAACCAGTATGATTTTTAATGAACACTTCCTGGAAGAACATCAAAATTAAATAAAATAAAATACGAAAATGCTAATATGAATGAAATACATGCTTTGTCTTTAGACCACTACATATTTGGAAAAAAGAAAATGAAGAAATATAAGCAATCCGCAATGTTTAGAAAAATTGACAAAGCAAGAAAGGTAGTACTTTTAATAGAACCGAATAAAAAGAACAGAACCACAAAAATAAATGCATCAAAAGCAGCTCAATTGATGGTACGGACTAATTCAAATTTAAGAGTTAAAATCTAGAAGTGGAATAAAGAGGAAGAACATAAAAAATAATGGCATGAAAATTAACAAAAGCCTTCGATAAAAAATAATTAATATTAAGGATCAAAACAGAAAACATGGAACTTTAATTCTGATTAAGAAAAAAAAAAAAGAAAAAGAAGAAGAGAAGATGAACTTTTTCCAGTTAATAAGTTTAGTAACGATTAAAAATATCCTGTTTTTGCTGATGATACTACACTGATCCTTGGTTTCTACTTATATTTTCTTGTTAAAATATCGCGCATCAACAGCAACATTATATTTAATAAAAAGGAAAAAGATCCAACTTAAATGTGACCAAGACGTAAAATAAAATAAAAAAAATAGAAGACATTGTCACATAAATACGAGCGACCGTTTCCCCCAGGATAACAACTACTCCTTTGGCTAACACCGCAACAAGCTTTAAATTATAGGTAAAGGAAAACAGCAGAAATAGAAAATAATTTTCAACACTATATTTTTGATTTTGCTTACCAAGGAAAACGATATTCTTAGACCGGTTTTGTCCTTATTTGTACTCGTCAGTATGAAATAGACATCTCAATTTCAGTCTCTAATGAAACTTGAAAAGAGACATCAAATTCAATCACCTACAATAAAGGAGATTATGAGTGAATAAGTAGTTACATAGTGAATATAGTAACACCATCTACACTCACAACCTCCTTTATTGTAGATAATTGAATTTCATACCTCTGCAGATTTCATTCGAGTCGAGATGTCTATTTCTTATTGAAGAGCCTAAATAAGGCTAAAACCAGTATAACAATGACGTTCCCCTTAGTAAGCAAAATCAAATGTAGTGTTGAAAATTATTTTCTATCTCTGCTATTTTCCTTTGAATATAATTCAATGCCTGTTGTGGTATTAGCCAAAAGAATAGTTGTTTCCTTCAAAGAAACAGTCACTCATATTTATGTGACATTGGCTTTGAGTTATTTTTATATTACTATATTTAATGTTGGGCTTTTCATAAAATGATTCCAACTGCGATTTTTGTTTTCAAAACTCCCACACCAAAAACAAATACTTTTAATTCAAAATAGAGTCTCTATAAACGGTAAAATTCTTATTACCCTGCCTATTTATAGTACATCAATATTTTCGACATCACAACTGATCATAGCGAGGGGTGAAAATTGACATTTGACGTTTCACAACAACTATAACAAACATATTTACTTATTACCGCGTTTGACTTTATTCATTTTTTATTTCACTTATAAATTGGAATGTTTTAAGCCAGTCGATTTTTTTAATTTTTAAATAATAAACGACAAAATTTTCGCCATACTTTTAAATAAACACCACAAATGCTTCGACTAATATGCAAATTAAATATGTCAGAAATGACAGAAGGCTACTAATTTTTTCCTGCTTTTCATGATTGGTACAAAATTATGCAACATAAAATGTCTGTTTTATATTATGCATAAGTAAAAAATTATTTGGTACTTTATTAGTACACTATTACTGCACCAAAACTATCATCACATTTAATACTCGACATACATCATCAGTCAGAAGTGTAAAATAAGACTTTATAATGGGACTAATAAAGTAATTTTCATAATGACGAAAGAGCTTGAAAAACGGCAAACTTTTCCAATTTAACAAAACTAAATGCATTTCACTTATACTGAATATTGGAAGAAATGAACACTTTACTTTTTCTAAATAATAAAATAAAATGTAGAAGAAACTCAACTGATGTTCTTCATATATTGTGCATGACAGTTTAACAAAAAAAGACTATTTACAAATTAAGAGAGCCCGTTAATTATCACATTGTGTTCACACAAACCATTTTTAAATTCAACCTTTGCGGCGACGCTCCCACAATCAAACTCAATTTCACCCCCAGCAATATGTAAACATTTTAAATTTGATTACAGATATCTGTACAAAAATCAATCAATCGTCTCGGCTCTTAGCATGTGCTTAAAAAAACGTATCACTTAGAAGATCTTTAAGATAATTCGACGTATGTTCTGATCAACTATATGAAATGAGGGTGATTCGAAAAGTTTTCGAAATTAACGACAGATGACGGTAGCAACGCCAATTTCCATGTATTACTCGTCATAATATATAAAATATCGACCCATTATATCAATTGGTATCATAGAACAAGGTATTTAAGTGACTGTAGTTTTTTATATAAATTGAAAAATTAAATATTTTGTAAAATCTATTGTTGGATTCAAAATGCGCCGAATAATCTTAATGCTGATCAGAAGGGAGAGAAAAATGTATAATACAAGGGGACGAAAACGAAAAACCCAGACGATTCTTACATGTGGTATCACACAATAATATAATACAGTTGGTTTAAGATCTACAAAACATCTTTTGTAGGCGCAAGTTGATAAACAAAGTTCAAAATAAGAGATTTTTGTTTGACACAGAGGATATTTGACACTTTGGCAATGAAGAATTGGCTTATAGTTTAAAAAAAAATATTTATTTTTTTAAATAGACGTTTATATATGAGAGATTAGAAAAAAATACTTAAAATTAAAATTTCGCAGATCTATTTTACATATTTACTGGCGATAAGAACTCTGTTTATCACCTTCCATCCTGCTGTAACGATAAATGTTAAAAATATAAATTCATTTCAACGAGTCCCGAGTAAGTATTATGTACAATAAAACAACAATCACACTCTACAACGAAACAAATTTCCTTTTACACCATTATCGGATCGTCGCCGCATTCTTCTGAACATTTTGCTTCGGTTGACAATTGCCGACGCAATTTCGGTATCGGGCCCGTTGATATCGATCTAACGATGGGCCTTTGATTGTTACGCTTGTCAGAGAGACAGGTGAGGTCATCGAGACTACCGTCTCCATCTGTGGAGAGCATATCATCGTCTGAGGTGGCGTGGGTGAGGGTTGGCAGGGTTGAGGTTAGGTGTTCCTAAAAAAATACAGCAAATGTAATGGTAAACTACCTAATACGTATAGACCAGATTATTGTACAAAGACACTTTTTATTAATAGACAGGATTATTTATCTATAAAATGAAATAAACGGTGAAGCATACACGTTTTAGTGAAAATTATGAAAAAAATATTTACGAACGGTAATATTGCTAAAAAAATTATTTTTTTTTTCAATCGCTTTTTGTAAGGATACAATTATTATTTAATTTAGTTTTTCGTGTGGTAAAAATATGTAATAGGGGAATGTCAAAATTAGTATGAGTTTATCTAGTAAGGACGAACTAATTTAACAGAACATACTTTAGAAAAATTACTTATTATGTCATGTAATTCTAATATAGTAATTATGTTTTTGTATAAAGGTAGATAACAAATACATTTTGTACTCAACCTAAATACACAAGGTCTTATAGAAATACATGTGGATACTAAAACAGATTATAATTTAGACTATCCTAGATGGTACAAAAATTGAAAGAGTACTTAATTATGAAAATGTATATAAAATAAGGCATACGCCACTGAAGTTGATGAAGTACATCTATGAAAAGTGCGTCACCTATTATGACCACTGAACTATAACAGTTATAATGGAACGCTAGAGCCAGGAATACTAATCAAGGAGAAGCGACAGCTGGTGTTTTCAGTGTACCGTTTTTGTACGCGCATGTGCAAAAATAAAGTTGTGTATTGCTCAAAATCATGTTATCTGTCCAGGTCAGCTCAAGTTGTTGTGTTTAGTCCGTGAGCTGATGTTTAGTAATATTTTTTGGTGTTTCTTTTGTGTTGTAATAAGATGTAGGTTTTTTTACATAAATATAGTGGGTTGCATAAAAGAAGATTACATTTTTAATCCAGGATAATATATTTTATTTATGGATATTATTAATCCTAGATTTTGTGAAATTTTAATTCTTTGATCTATCAAAATAGTTATTTATTTTGGATTGATAGTTAACTTCAAAAACTGAACAAATGAATGAGGGCAAGTGTGAAAAGTGAAATAACTTTATTGAATACTGAATTAGACAAGACAAATTTACTAATTATTACCAATATAATTAAAGGCCAAACTTCAAATGTATGTGCACAAATGTCAATATAATCCTTCAAATAATACAACCCAAATATTATTATGACTTTAGATTAGATAACAAAATCTTTGTCAGTCATGGCCTACATTAGAAACATATTTTGTGTATCATTATTTTGGTATGGAGGTGAGCTGATTCTGTTACGAGTTGAACATATAATTCTGGATGAAGAAGTGTGTAGTTACTTAGAGTCATTGGACAACATATTTGTAGACTTATGATGATAATTAAAATTATAGGCAATTTTTTAAACTTATAGCTATTTATAATTAATAATAACTATCCATAAATTTTGTTTATTGAAATTGTTGCTTTTTTTGCTAATAAAATATTTATTTAATTCAAAAAATGTATCATCTGTTATTAATTTAAATTTGTTTTATTGAACCCTCAAAAAAATCGAGTGTGCCACATGTTTGGTTAATTTTTGATATGTTACACCAATATATTTGTTAAAAGAATAATTTTTTCTTCAAAATAGAGCTATTCTATAAAGTTGGTAATAAAATGATCATGGACACCTACGAACATGCACCTTTTACATTATGAAGATTTTTAGATGTCTGCCACCAATTTGGTGATTATGAACTTGTTTACTACAAAATATATAGATTTTGAGAAGTTGTCAATGATGTAGTAGGTTGGCAACCTTTTTGTCAATAAGGGTGCAATATACAGTGTGTCTGCTTAAGTCGGCACCAAATGGGAAACTGTATTATTAGCTTTATGAAAAAAGTTATTCTTCATAATTGTTATGAAATTGTTAATTCCATTAGAGACTGGAATTGAGAACATGCATATTTCTTGGTGAAGAATCCTAATCAGGACAAAACCGGTCCAAGAATGGCGTTCTCTTTAGTAAGCAAAATCAAAGGTAGAGTGTTAAAATTAATTTATATCTCTGATGTCTTTCCTTTGGATATAATTCAATACCTGTCGTTGCCAAAGGAATAGTTTCCCATATGGTGCAGACTTATCTTAAGTATACAGATACTGTGTTCCATAAAGTTGGATCCATATGGGAATTTTTTTAACATTACGATCGGAGATCGGAAAAAAACGTCGTAAGACATTCAACTCTGCTTTTTTAAAAACTTAAAATAACCTATATTAAAGTTGACTGCATTAGAAAACATGTTACAATACTTAGCCATCTGATAGAGACCTCTTGGAGTTGATACATACGGTTCAAATTTGCATATTTCGGTCGTTTAGCAATACCTACGAGTGTTCCATAGAACTAATTTCCTAACACCATATGTGAGTAATATGGTGAGGGCGCAATAAAAATGTCAATCCCGTGGGCGCCGTGTTGCCGACCCCTGAGGTAGGATATCCTGTAATCACATCCCCCTATGTCTTTGTACAACACTCAGGTCCTCAGTAAAAAGTGTGGAAAGAGACGTTTTTCAATATATTCATAAAGGAACGTAATTTTTATCAAACGATTTAATTTTAATTAGATTACTGAACTTACTTTTTCTTTCTGTATCTCCTGTATGTGATCCTCCAACAAATGCTCCTCCTCGTCCGTAGGTTGCTGAGAGGGCTGATTCGCGGGCAACAGCTCGTCCGGCGTAAAAACCTTACTACTCCGCAGGCTGCTCAACCGATTCGTCGCCGCCTGACACGCCGTATCCAACGTATCGATATCATCCAAGGTACTCCGGATCTTCCTCAACTGCACTCTAATAATGGTCTCGATGCACTGTGTCTGACTGCTAATGTCCACGAGACAATCCTGAGCGGGCACTAATTTGTTAGTCCTTAACACGCACGGCGCGAAGACGATCGCGAGCGACGCCGCGGACATCCGGTTGGTCTCTTCGTGAAGGGCGACGCGCGCTAGATGGAACATTAACCGTTCCATTAGGTCGTAGTTGGCGGGCGGGAGTTTTTTGAGGATGTCGTACAGAGTGGCGATGCGATCGGCTTCGACTGCGAGATTGGCTGCGGTGATGAAGTTTTCGTAACATTCGAAGGTCAGCAGGGGTTCGGACATTTCGCGTAAGAAGGATTTCAGGACTGAGGCTAAAACGTGAACCTGTAACAGACAAGACAATGTAATAAAACAATGGTTTTTTTTTTCTTTATTGGTCTCAACTTATACAAGTTATTTAACCAGCACTAACATTAGTTACATGAAAATAAATACAATAAAATTTAAAATACTATTTGGCTCTGTAAAATTAAAAAAAAATTAGGTGAACAATATTTTTTATAAATTAATGTTAGAAGATTTTAAAAATGACATGATTATGGCTGTATTGCAAATTGGTTTTCGTAAATAATCATTTAGACATAAAGGGGAATACTGGGGTCGAAAAGCTAAAACCATTTTTTGGTATAAGAATTTTATATTATCTGTATTATTACTGCATTCCATCAAGATATGACCTAAACTTCCAATTTCACCACAGTTGCAACTTGGGCAGTCAAGGATACCAATTCGGAACAGATGAGCAGAACTATAGCAGTGACCAATTCTCATTCTGCACATTGTACCGATTTGTCCCTTTGTTAATTTAATTTAAAAAAACCAGGGTGTTCTAGGCAGTTTGTTTAATATATTAAAAAGTTGCTTTCCCTTAGTTTGGCTCAGTTCTCGCCATTCTTCACTCCAATCATCCCAAATTTTATTTTTAACTCTGGGTAGCATATTTCTATAATCCATTGTCATTACGTCAGAATAATGTTTGTTAAGTCCTAATTTAGCAAGTTTATCAGCTATGACATTTCCCTTTATATTCGTATGACTAGGTATCCACGCAAAAGTAATATTTATATTCTTAAGTTTTGCATTGTAAATCTGACTTTTAACATTTAAACTGCAGCTATCTGAACAGGATAGTATACCTAATCTTTGTATTCTCTGAATAGCACTAGAAGAGTCCATACATATAAGCACATTTTTGCAGTCAGATTTATTAATTTGGATTACAGCCATTTCCACAGCTTTGATTTCTGCAGTGCAAATATTAGTTCCATCTGCCAAACGTGAACTAATATTATAGTTTAACTCGGGAATATGAACTCCATCCTCTATAAGAGGATAGGTCTACAGATCCGTCTGTATATACTAAAGTATAATTAGGAAATAACGTGTTTATTGCAATGGTAAAATTTTTAGAGTTATCCAAACAGTCTTTCTTTAAACCTAAACTCATGGTTCCGGATCAACAGGATGGCACACCTTGTCACAGTATGAGAAATGTCAAATCAAAATATTTTTAATGGAAAATAATTACTTGGTCTTTGGGTCTGATCTCTATCAACTTATTTTATGGAAGGGCTTAAATAAAGTATACCTTTGAAAATGTTGGCAATTTAAAGAAGGTAATTAGAAAAGCAATCTAAGATAAATGCCATTTGAAAAATAAACAATGTGATTTGCATTACCTATTTTAAAAGTGGCGTTTATACAATAATTTAAAAACAAAATCTACTGATTTACGAGAGAAGCGAAAGCATTAATCTAAGCGAGACCACATTTAAATTATCTGCATTAGTGATTAGTAATTTGTGAGTCAAACAAAGTTGATATTAATATTTTTTGGAAGCGTTTTGTTTATGACTATGAAGACTAGAGATAAGGAGGCGAATCGGCCTTGGTCAAATTTCCATCCCTATTTTTATGGAGTTCCAAAAAACTACTGTAGTTGGTGGGTGGCAAAATAACGACGTCTATTTTCTATGCAAGTCAATGGGAATTAAAGTGATTTTTGTAAAATTTAGTGAAAAGAATAAAAATAAGCTGAAATAAAGAACCTGACTACAAGTAACAATGAGTAACAAAAAAGGACAAAGCAGGATTTGCTTCGTTCCGGGTTGCAAAACGGGATAAAAATACGATATAAAATTAAAGAAATCACAAGGAGATAAAAATCCGTCTTTTTAAAGCTCCTGGTGTAAGTAAAATAATGTATTTATTTCTAAATAATATACATTTATTGTAAAATAGTCACAACCCGTATCTTACGGAATGTAGTTTATTTATTTACAAAATTCTATAATAAATAATAATAAAGTCATAAATCCTGACTTACAAACAACAATAATTACACATTAAATTTAACTTACTAGAAAAGAAAATTTGCTTTTTTATGTTTTTTGATGTTAGATGAAGAGTTACTACTGTTATTTTTCTTTATTGAACTCCAATTTAGTCATTGCAAATATTTTTTATAGGATCCTAAACGTTTAGAACAATGGCAGCCTCTGATTCCTAGGGCTGATAAAGTACTATCTAGTTATGATTCTGTTTGCGAGCTACACTTTTTAGACGATGATATTTTAAAATTTAATGAGACTATTTTAACTAATGGTACTGTAAACAAAATAAAAAGGGAAAGGCCAAGATTAAAGAACGAAGCAATACCATGTATATTCCCGAATCTCCCTTCATACTTATCCAGTATTAGGAAAAGACGAAAACCACCAATGAACTGAACTTGTTAGAATAAAAAAGGAAGAAAATACTAGAACCTATTGCTGAAGAAACTATTCACCAGGATGATGAAATTGTAGTTGTCGAATACAAAATTTCACCATTTAACAAATCTTTTCAAATTTGGTCGTACCTAATTTTCATTTTATTTAGATAAAATTAAATAATGAATAGTAAATAATGTTTAACATAAAGACTCATTTATAATTAATACCAACAGAATTTTCTGTACTTTAGTTAGCAATTAAAACAAATACTTAGTTATTAACAATAATTAAAATCAACAGTATTTTCTGTGCTTTAGTTAGCAATAAACAATTTGATTTTTATTATTTTCATAAAATTTTGTAAAATCCCTAACTAATTATCTTCATTTAAACCGTGTCTTAGTATGGCCTCAGCCCTATTTAGCTTTAATTAAAAAATAATTAGCCCTACCCATCAAATTTCAACACTTATCATCAATAATTTGCATTTTACTTAAATAGGAATAAATAGTAAATAATGTATCAATTAAAATATGTAAAACTTATTTAGAAATAAATACAACAGTATGTTATGTACTTTATTTAGCTATAAACAAGTTTATTTTTATTATTTTGACAAAATTATGTATAATTCCCATAAGAAGCCATGTATTTTGAACTACGTAAACCGTACCAGCGCCCATGCGGTTAATTATAAAAGTTTAATTGACGTGTGATTTTTGGGACCGTATTTTGAGCATGCCGATTCGCCTCCTTATCTCTAGCAGGCCCATGACACTCCCTGGGCGGGAAAAAGACGCGCAGCTTTTACTGCGCTGACGTTTTCGGGATATAACCTATCACTTGTCATAAATCCGGTTAAAAACTCGCAACTTGTTAATAGAATATACAAATAAAGTAAGTAGTAACCTTACCTGATACCTCTCGAATTCCACCTCGTCCGGATTTTCATCCATCCTATTCTTCAGCTCCTTAATTTTCGAACTGACCCCGCTTTTCCTGTAAATCCCTTCAGCGTACAACCCGTGAAGCTCTATGGTGCTCAATAATCGTTCGATCACCAATGGAAGCTTGTTATCCTCTGTGACTAAAGTCACGAGCGGCACACCAAACACTCTCTTAGTTTCCCCTTGAAGACCGGCTTCTTTCAGACACTGATTGGCGTTTAAGTAGCATTTTTTATGGCATGTCATCTTGCAACTTTGACATACCAATCTGGAAGGACATTGTAGGAATAAAATAATTGGCAGAAATTGTTAGTACAGTTTAAATATCATTAGAGGCAAAGTTATTTGTTTATGGATAACACAATTAGTTCCACCGAAGAATAAAGAACTTTCAAACTCTTCTTAATATTTTACAAACTCTCAAGCATTTTTAAGTAGTCTTCATACCCAAACCTTGAAGGATGGATTACACTGCCATAAAAAAATAAGATGGGGATTATTTTCACTCATACTACCTATATTGCCCCAATATTCTAGAAAATTCAGATATCTTCCAATTTGTATTTATCTGATGTAAGTAGGTATAATAAGAACTGAAATCCGACAACCAGGGGTTGATAATTAATTTAAATAATTCTGATATATTAAATATTATATTGAAATTTTAATTCCGAATGCAAACAACATCCCGGTGTCTCACGATTTTTAGGCGCCACTTAATTACTTCTGGAAACAGAACTGAACGCGTACGGATCGCTAGAAAAAACCATATGTAAAACGTTAAGGTTATATTCAGGGATAAATACAAAGCTTTAAGGTCTTTATGCACGGAATTCACAGTCGTTCTCTTTCCGATACATTTGCATATATGGAAAATTTAGGTATAAATACCATGGTTTTTGTGGGCTGGGGGATTAGCTTTTTCATCTTCACCGAGTCAAGTTAACAAAAAACGCAAATATCCACGTTACCGCTACGGTGACTCCTTTTTGTTTATATTCTTCAAATATAATTAAAAAAAAGATATCGCTACCATTATGGTGGCCGCGCTTTTGTTATATTTTGAGAACGGAAATAAAAGATATCGACGGAGTAGAGAAATTAGTTTCTATATATGACGACTTCTGCATAGATATCCAGTTGTCCTTAGGATGACCACCTTTTGCTCATATTTTATATAAGTAAAAGGAGATATATAGTCAGGTTGACCAAGCAGATAGACGTTAAATAGAACCAGATTTCGCTCCTAGAATATTTTGTAAGGTTGTATCTACAGAGCAACTAAAATATTGGCGCAACCGATTCCCTGTGAGATTCCGCTAGTAAAGGTAACCGCCAACTATTTTATATGTCCGATTCAACGTTATAAAGTGTAACTAATTGATTAAAAGTACTACTCTAGGCGACGTTCGTAGTGGATTTCGTCACCATTAAGGCTGACCCGACGAACTTGCGCCAGGTAGACCCTTTTATCAGCGGTATACTTAATTCTGTAAGGTTCTTATACGTAGGATTAAAACGATAATCGCACTATTAAAATAATCAAACTAGTATTTAATATTCATATACTCCGGGGGAGAGTTTAGACTACATGGCTGGGTTACAGGTATCACTTTATTACTTTTATATTCGTTAGCGGAAAAATTCGCGTCTGAGTGTTATTTTCATATTTTCATTGATAAACGTTTATTGCGGGAAAAATTATAGGGTTTTTATATTGTGCTAAATTATACTATTTAGAGAATCGATAGTGGTGTTGTCATAAATATTAATTGTTGTAAAGTCAGTCAACACTCTCAAGTAATAAATTAGGTCATTTAGATTTATGGCCAAAGGGCCAAATTGTAAAGTTTTGGTTGTCTGTAAACACTACTTTCAGTAAAGAGGAAACGCACTTTCGGTTTTACTTTTAAATGGCAAACAGATGTTGACTAGTAGGATAAATACCTTGTTTTGTGTATATTTTAAAGTAAGATTGCGTTTAAAAAAATATGTTTTCTGTCATTCTTCGTAAAACAAAATTGGGTAGACAAATGTGTCATTTTAGCCATAAAGAGTGTTAGTTTTGTATATCGATTTTTCGGGGAAAAGGGGATATGTACAGCGGCGGGTAGAATCATGAATACTGAAGAGGGTTGGAGTTATTTGTACATATCCACACACCTTTAGCGAGACATTATGTGGAAGTAGTCGGTATATTTGTCATTTATTTAGAATAAATAGGTGAAGTTGTGTTTTTGGACTACCTAACGTATCCTCAGAACTGTGATTGATAACAATGATTTGTCTATTGACAGAGAAAAAGAGCATAGCGCCAAAAAAGAGCCTTAGTCCGCCATATACCGTCAGGGACCTCAATAGTAAGGGCCTAAAAATGGTATTTCCTTTGCGGCTATATAAATTAAAGCCTGATAGAGGCAGGATGGATTTCTATTTAAGATATCCCAAAAGTGGGCCTGACGGGCATCCCCCTTTATATCAGGTGTTCTGCGATCGATCATTTTACTGTTTTCCATGCAGGACTGAGTATGTCAGTACATTACGGCATTGGAATATTAGTGAAAGGCGTGACGCACGGTGAGGTAAATCTATACTTCGGTTTTTACACATACATGTTACATATATTATTCTATACCACGCGGAACTCTGCGTGCTACCGCCGTACTCTCTTTTATTAGACAATGCATAATTCCGTATTTCCGTGGAAAAGTGTGATTGTATATTAGGAGACAAACAAATATACCAAAGTACTTCCGACTTTTATTTTACCCTTTTATGGGAACTAAAAGCTCTGAGGTTAGAAATGACACATTGGAAAGCCTACATAAACTTAATGTTGAGCCTAAACACGGCACATAATCTAAATGTCCGGCTGTATAAAAGAATAGATGTTAAATAAACAGTATTCAAAATTAATCTCTGTGTTTACTTTGTTCTTCCTCCATTACAGCTACATTGAACTCTAAACGTAATTCTGGGGTTTTTTAACATCACTTCGTGGAGATCTACTAGACGAAATTTAGGCCAAGGTTAAGGGTATTTGGAAAACTAGGTTAGGGCCCGGTTTGTCAAGTTACGTAGGTATAATAAGAACACATACATCTGACTTGTGATATTTCTAAACCTATCTAATCCACCATTTTTCTAGGAGATGAACTTATTTAAATTTTTTTCTTTGCTATATCCACGATTATCAGATTGATCACTATTCCCTGATTTATTTGAATTATATCAAATTGCATAAATATATCAACAACAATATACTAAAACAATAACTGAGAAAAATAAAACAATCAATTGACTGCATTGCAAAAAGTGATTTTAAAAAACATTTAGGTATGTATGATATTTTTTGTCTTTCGTTGAGATATTATATAGATGATTTAAAAAAAAAAGATTAATTATACAGATATTATTTATAGTGCTTAAAAATATTTCTTAGGAGAAGGGTTTGTTTCATACAGTAAACAAAAATATTACCTACCAAATGGTTAAAAATTACTCAAAATTAAGGATTATTCCAAAATTCCAAAGCGTACCTAGTTTATAGATTTTTTTTTCTAATAGGTTTTTGCTGTTTATTCTACTTCTGAAGAGATAGATGTCTTCTTATATTATCTGTCTCAATTTTATATTCGCTTTCTACTCAAATAACTTAATTTTGCTGTTCAACAAATAAGTTTTTGACTTTTTAAATTTAAATTTCATAGATAGTTAATATTTAGTAAAGTATTTTTTTTATAAAAAACGAGAAGAATTACGAATTTTTATAATTAAGTATGATGCAATTTTTAGAAAATACAAATTTTCAATTTATTTATACTAAATTTCAAAGTAAAAATAATTAAGAAAAATACTAATCCCAAATTTTGGGCAGTGTTAGGATTTCTGAACTTTCATAAGAGAGGTCAGTCAAGTGTTATCGTAGTCTGGTTTCAAAGACGGAACTTCTTAAAGCCGAAATAATAATTAATTTCCCACTTTATTCGGAATACCGTTTTGTGAGGTAAGTACAGTGAGCGCAGTCTTATTTCGCAGACTTAATTTCTCAACACTGAAATCTTTAATTCACTACCTACCGTCGATAACGAGATAACGTTGCTCCCCCTTATCCGTTACTGTATCAATATTAAACCGGATCCCTTTTAAAATATTCTATAAAACGGGGACATACAAAATAGGTGAATTTAAACCAAGCTTCATTTTTCCGAAAATACGACCTTAATACCTGGGCTAACACCGTTCGACAAGCGCCATTTTTTATTTTTTTCATTTATCACGAGGAAAAAAATAGTTTTTGATAGTAATGCTGAGTGAAAAATTTAGGATGTTAGAATGACATTAGTTGTATTCAACGTATTGATTTTGCAATTACTTCTGACATTAGCCATAAGAAAATATGTAGGTACTTAATGTTAATTCAATATAGTTAGTCTACACCCAAGTTTCTTCTAGAAAACAATAAATACCTGCTAAAATAATAATTAAGAACAAAAAAAAACTGATGAGATCATTAAACATTTACAGCGAAACTGTTTTAAATTAGCTGGCTCTCACTCTTATAAGAGGTAGCATAATATATTTGATGTTGGCTTCAAAACAAGTAAATTTTATGAATGAGTAGTTTACAAAGTGGACAAGCCACGATAGTCGTGCGGGCCCACATTTTCGCAAATAATCAGTGTCTTGGATGGATGGCTTTTTAGGAGATGGGCCATGCCACCATGGGAATAACGTTTAACCATATACGTAATATGACCCTGAGTGAATGGGTATGGCTGTAGGATTATCAAGTCTTGACACAATAAACCTTGAAGGCAATAATGCCGCCACACATGAGCATTAGGAGTCCTGGAGAGGGACCAGGGTGATAATAAGGGAATCCAAAGGGCAAAAAAATTGAACAATGTTAATGTAAAAAAGGTTGTAAAATTATAGGTTTAGGTTTGAAGAAATAGCTGATAGGCTATGACACCCTTAAGAGACAACTTTTATCCTATTTAATTCAATCTGTCTATTCAACCATTTATGAAATTCTTTTGGGACATATTATACAAATTATAATCATTAATAATACTCACCCTCGTTCTATTGGCCACATGAAGAACGAACTGCATATCTCACAAGCCGTAGGTATGTTTATTATTGTCAAAAGGAAAGTGTGCCCGTTGTGTTTGTAAGTCTCCACTTTGCGTTTCTTTTCCTTTTTCCTCTTCGATTTACTGGGTTTCTCTTCGGCACGAGACGACATGAATTCATCCATGAAACCTCGAAACGCATTGACTCCCATCGTAACCGGAAAATCTTTCGCGTCGTTCGATTTTTGTTCGCGCTGGCAGACCGTTTCCATTGCCTACAAGATCATTTGGAATCAGTTCAATCTATATTACAAAGATGATGAAAAAATACATAATCGTTATTTAATGAACAAATGTATTAATAATGGCGGTTTATGGTCGAACTATTTTAATTGAGATTATTAAACGTCGTTTAATTTTCCGTCGGTCGCGCTATTAAATTTAAGCAAATCTGATTACTAGTGGTTCGACTTTTTACATCATAAACTTTAAAATTGACAGTGAGATATATTGATTTGATTATTCAAATTGGTTTAGACTATACTAAAATCATAGATTAATAGAAAAATTTCATGCACTAATGAACGATTTTCTATACATTAATTCATAAAGACATGATCATTGGAATTAGTTATTGAACGAACAAGTGTATTAATAAATGGAGAATTATCATCATTTTTTTTTAATAAATTGATAGATATATGTAAATAATTAATACAGGTTTCATTCATATTATGTTTTTTCATATTCGATTTAGAGAAAACAAATATTTTAGTCATGATTTTTAAACTTTAAAACGGTATATCCATAGTTTGATATGTGGCAATGTTGACCAGTAATATTGACGCCAGTCGCGAAGACTTTGAAACTTAAGAGTTAACTCTTAATTTTTCATTGCAATTTAATCATTTTAATATTGGTAAACTGATCGATTTCTTAAATATTTTCCAGAAAAATATCAACGAATATTTGTTAATGATTTAACCTCATTGATTTGAGTTTTCGTCAAACTCTACTTTTTTTCAGAATTGATGTTTCTATCTTCAAGAATTTTATGTAGGTAACTATTTAAAAGTGCTTTGTGTCAAAAAGCTAACATTATATGGTGATTGTAGAAAACCTAATATCCATAATAGTTAATTATATGGATTCTTACCTGATTAAAAACCAAAATGAGATCCTTATACTTAATATTGCACGTTTCCAAACTGTTATGCTTGTTCGCATTACTATATATCTGCACCAAATTATCTTTGAATTCCCTCAAAGCCTGTTTGAAAGTCTTATCCACGTCGCTGTTTTTGCCGCCGACGGATTCCATCTTCATTATTTTATCCGTTATGAACTGTTGCATGAGAGTGAGTTCTTCGGCTCCAGTGATAATTTGATCGGTTCGGTCCGTAAACTCTGAGGTACCAGTGAGGCTGAACTTACTTTCGTCGGGTTTCCGGAGATCGTATGGGGTTCGAGAATGTTTTCGGTGTTTTCGCCTACCCGAGCGAATTTCGGCATTCGGTCTTTGTTCACAGGGCATTTCGAAAACCTTAAAATTACAAAATTAATTTTACTTATTTTATGATAATACAGAAAATCGATGCTTTAATAGTATATTATTCTCTACACAATACAAATAAATTAATTAAATCAAGGATACAATATAAACAAATATTGTTTTGCTCTTGTTTTTATTCAATTTCTAACACTAGCCTGGACCCAGCAAGGCATTGTCTGTCAAATACTACATTTAGGTAAAGGCAAAAAACAAAAAAAGTATAATAATTATTTGAAACAAAAGACGGATACAAATAAAGCCTAGAAATTAAAACTAAAATTGGTACAGTTAAGATATTAACATATTTTATGTGTGAAAGTCTAGGTTTATTCATTAAATTTACAATTTAAAAAAATTTTTTTACTTGTCAATATCTAAAAATAAATTACAAAATTGGGACAACAAAATCAGAACAAAAAATATAAAGACATACATGCAAAAATTCATAAAAAAATATATATTTCACATTATTAAACATTTTTACTTTTGCTTTTAGATCATCTATAGCAATTTGGTCTAATGAATTTCCCTGATCTAGTATTAGAATCATGAAAATGAGTTTAAACAGAAATAATTCTTATTTTTATAAATTTCAAGTAGTATTTCATACATATAAATAGAAGTTAACGCCATGATTATTAATTTTAAAAATAAAACTTTACACTCGAGATTAATCTTATGACTTTCTTTTGAAGTTTGTAAATTCTATCTACAATATCTATGTCAGAAAATACAAAAAAAAAGAAAGAACCAGAAAAACATTAGAGAAGCTGAAAAAAGGATATGGAAAGTTATTAAGGGGAAAGAAAAAAGTATAAAACTGGACGTAAAAGTATATTACATAACAAGAGTTGTAAGTAACCCATTACGCACGAAGTGAAAAAGTTTACGCACGAAGCCGCCTGCGGCGAGTGCGTGAATTTCACGTAGGGCGTAATGGGCTTACAACTCGTGTAACGTACTATACTTTTTCTACGACCACTTAAAACGTTCTGAAAAAAGGATTTAACGTTGTGCTTGTGTCGCCAATCCATACATTTTCGATAGGTAATTTCGTACCTTTCTTTGGATTTTAGCGGTAACAAATTATGTGTGGCAGCTTGAGCTTTTTCTAAAATCTCCAGTGGAGTGCTCATAATTTCATCACTTTCATTGGTAACAAACATATTCGTAGGTAAAGTTGAGAAAATGTTCGGATTCGATCATATTTTGTTATAAAAATTGACAATATAAATGGCATGACGTTTATTTCCATAGCATGCTAAGAAAACGCGACATATTTTTTGAAACATTGTATAATATGTTGCCGACATTTAGGGGCATCACTCTTTTAATCCAAAATATATCTCGCTAATGCTAAAAGTTTTTGTTTTTTAAATGACTAAATTTATGTAAATAGACCAAATAAAGTCGTACGTAGACAAAAATTTGATTGCAATTTGATTACACAAAGAAATTGAAGTTTTCTTATCAAAACGCACGTGTATGTTATGAGATCTCATTACGTGCACGTTATTGTTAAATGTCATTTCCAAGGAATGTTGATAGTGAGATTTTTAACGTTTACTGACATGGGCGTAGTAAAAAGTATTAAGCAGCATTATGTATACAGGGTGACTACTTTTTATATTGAACAGTATTGCTATGTCGAAAACCGTAAGAGTTACAAAGTCGGTTAAATGGGAAAAAAGTTGTACTATTGCAAGACTATTTTAGTGATGTTTTAAAACCGAGAATATCAGGATCTTTTTCCAAGATATTTAAGGAAAACCAAATGACTCTATTTTCGATTGTATTGCCTTTATTTTACAAATTAGAAAAAAATTACAAATAGACTTTTTATTTGGTATTAAGTAGCGTTTAATTTACCGTAGACAGATTTTTTACACAACGTTTCGTTTGTGGAGGACCACCATCAAGTATATTTTTTTGAATACGGACCTGTATTTTTTATTCTATTTTAAAAAAGTACTTTTAATCCTAAATTCAACCATTTAATACACATTAGTAGTTTAGGACGTTTTGATACTTTTTATTATTGCTATTGCAAGGTCACTATAAATTTTATTGATTTAATACAGACATGTATTTTTTATTATGCTTTCTTACTTAGATTACTGCCAAAACTACACTCCTAAAATTATTTTTAAATTAAACGCCGTTTCGTTACATTTGCTTCCTTTACCAGAAATTTAATAGGAATCGTACCTGAGCCATACCTGTTGTGTTAAAGAGGGCTGGCGGTTAATGTCTAAACAACATTACAAAGTCACAATATAGCATACAATGTAAGAAATGTTCAAAGTGACTAGACAGAGATTGCGCAAATTTATCAATTGAAGAGATAAATAATTATGCAAAAGAACATAAATTACAAGATGGAAAAAAATATGTATGTCACCTATGCGCAGGAAAAGAAACACCTAGACTATAATCTATTAATAATGAATCTAATGCCATCTTAGAATCAACAGAACTTAAAGATTACATCAAAGAATGTGTAACTGAAGTTAGAAGAAAAATATCAAAATAAGAATAAATTGGAAATAATTATAAAATTGGAAAAGGAAATAAAACAACTTAAAAATGAAATGGCAAACTTACGAGAATCAAATGTAGATCTAGTTAGGCTATTTAACGAAGCTGCAAAAAATGTTTCAACAACAATCTCGGTACAAGAAAAACATGCCGAAAAAAGACAAAATGTACCAATAGTTCATTCAAAAGAAACTGATCATAATAAAATTATTAAAACAAACCTAGACAAAAACACAAACTCTCTAATCTCCCAAGCCCAAACGAAAGAAGATGGCAACAATCCGTGTGCCAATAATAACAACAACTTAAAACATCAAGATAAAACTAAATCAATCAGAGGGACAAATGATAAATTACCTGATACAATCAAAGCATACTCAAAAGACGACTTCTAAAGCCAATCTGTTTATAAAACCATTCTCTTTAGATGCTAATGCTTTAGAAATACAAAAATACCTTAGATATACACTTGAATGCACCGACATTACCTGTGAAGAACTAAATCCAGATTCAAAAACAAAAACTTACAAATCTTTTAAGATCACTGCAAACCAAGAAACAGAAAACGGTTTATGGCAAGAAAACATCACGGTAATGCCTTTCAACTCCAAACCACATCATCATGGAATAAACACTAATAATCACTTTCTTCGAGGAATCCCTGAGAGACAAGGAACAAATGAATCAAAATTTAGAAGTTACCAATACCAATACCGACGAAATAAAAATTTCCATTCTCCATCAAAACATACAATGTATTAGAAACAAAATAATTCAAATAGACAACCTAGTTAATAACATTATAAACGAAAAAATTGTTTGCTTTTCAGAACATTGGCTGTTTTCTAGCCAGGCTACATGTTTCAATCTTACAAATTTTATTAACGTAACTACTTTTTGTAAAGAAACACATATCCATGGTGGGGTAAGTATATATATTCACAACACTTTACAAAGCGCTGAGATTCCAGAAATTAAGAATATGTCAATATAAATCCACTGTGAAATAACTGGGGCGTTTATTAAAAAGCTTAATCTGGTACTTATTGTTCTATATAGGTCCAATTCACAATATTCTAATTTTAAAATATTTCTTACAATTTTAACAAATGTCTTATTACTATTAGAAGCTAAACACAAAAATAGTAGAATCATTATATGTGGGGATTTTAATGTAAAATTTTTAGAACCTTTACATATACTCGTATTACAGAGAGCTTTCAAACATGTCCAGACAACATATTTGCTAACTTTCCTTTTGCTCAGACACGCGTGTTAAGGACTACAGAGTCAGACCATGACCCTCAATTATTAACTTTCCTAAATCATGAGCATAGGCGCCGAATCACCGGGGCTCGGGGTGCGCAAGCACCCAGAGCAGTTTTAAACTGGGTGCGGGCACCCATAGCACAACGTAGATAAAAGTGCCAATAAGTGAAATGTAGAAGCTGTCGTGGGCCAAGTTGGTAGAGCGATAGGATGCCTCAATGCGGTATCAGTGTTTGATTGGCTGTCAGAGTTGTAAACTGTGACATTGCACGTCGCAATAATCCTAATGCTAATGCAAAATAATAATGCTTTCTTCTTAACTCATCTTTTTTCTTAGGTTAGAAAACGATTTTTTATTCGAAGACGTCATTTTAAATTTCTATCTCTTAATGTCAACATATACGTAACACGATGAGTTTAATAAAATGTATGTCTCGAATTAGTAGGTTGCAAATTGGCGCCAACTCATTGACAGTACATATACATACTATAAAAAAATGATGAAAAGTCCATAACTTTTAATTATTTGTTAAATATCACTTATTAAAAATATTATGTATTAAAAGTAAAACACAATATAGCCTTTTCATCATTCTTTACCTTACTTTGAACCCATTTTTAAAAACATTTTTAGAAAATATTATCATTCGGAGCTGTATTTTTTGTGATAAAAAAGTCGCTGTCACTTGTCATTGACAACGCGTTAAACTTGGACTTAAGGATTTATTATTCTTGGTGTAAAAAATCTTATGACGTCAAAAAAGAACGACTAATAACGGTCTACAATTATCAAGACAAGAGCTCTGTACATATGCTATCGAGCAAATGCTTGAGGGGAGAAGAGAGAAGATTTGGAAGTTGCTGCAGATCATCAAGTACCGTTAAAAAAGAACGTTCTGTAATGATTATTTAATTTAAAAATAGTTTATTTATAATTTATTACGTACTAATTAATTTATTTAATATTTGGACACTTATAACTCTTATTATTATTTATTACAATTTATTTTTTCTATACAGCACTTAAATTGAAACTTAGCTTCTATCGACCAATTCGCGCTATTTATATAAAGCCAGCTCTGCACTAGAACATTCTCGTCTAGAAACTCTGGAATTTCATCACCTATGATGCTTTCTCTGGTAGCTTCTCGAAGGAATGCGTTTGTCTCTATATGGCCAGCGCT